TTTTGAATAAGGGACTGTGGTCTCCACCTTCCTTCCTCCCGCCTCCCTCCCTCCTCCTGCGTCCTGCTTCCTGCTTTATTCCCAACCCTCCTTGGTTGGGTATTCGTTTTGAATAGAGCACTGCTCGCGCGTCTCCTCCCGCCTCCCTCCTGCCTCCTGCCTGCCTCCTCCTGTCTTGCCTGCGGGGGGCTGCGACCTGTGAAACTGTCGCCACTTTCGAGGCCTGCTGGGGGGCCCAGCACAGTGACGCCACGCGCGGACCCAAATCAGACCTCGCCATCCCTGGGGGGGCTGCGATCTGTGAAACTGTCGCCACTTTCGAGGCCTGCTGGGGACGCCTTGTACAGGAACCCGGAGGCGAAACCCTGTAGGGGGACACGCCCGACTTAGGACCGCGAAGCAGTGCGCCTCTCGGGCCAGAGGCAAAGCCCAGGTCGCCCGCGGGGGGGCCCGAAGAGAGCCGCGCGTCGCACGTCGCGGCCTGGGCCGGCCGCCCGGCTCCAATCAGGGGGGAGACAAGACACACAGGCACGAGGAATCGTCGACTCTCAGGAAAACATAGGGGAAGATCTGGGAAGCGGGGGGAAAACAGAAACCCAGAAAATATAAAGGAAAATCTGGGGAAACCTGTTATTTGTGTGTACTTATTCCCCATATCCTAAGGATTGGGGTTCTTGTTATTACTCTGACGCCTCCCACTCCTCCTCCTTCCTCCCGCCTCCCGCCTCCCTCCTCCCACTGATAATCACCAGATAAGATAAGACATGATATAAGATAAGCTAAGACAAGATAAGAGATTTCAAGATAAGATAAGATAGAGGGTAATAAAGGTAAGATAAGATAGGACTCGATAAGATAAGATGAGACTCACTCTCACTCAGACTCACTCACAGTCACATTCACTCACACTCACACTCTCTCATGATCACAAAACGCTGCCAGGGGCATCATTTGGGAGCCCCAAGGGGGAGCCACCCTGGCTGATCTCACGAGCCCGTTCGCGCCGATTTTGGTGGGACGTCTCAGCTAGAATTGCCGTTTGGCCCCCCAACATGTATCTCTTGAGAGCCTCATGGTCACAAAACGCTGCCAGGGGCATCATTTGGGAGCCCCAAGGGGGAGCCACCCTGGCTGATCTCACGAGCCCGTTCGCGCCGATTTTGGTGGGACGTCTCAGCTAGAATTGCCGTTTGGCCTCCCCAACATGTATCTCTTGAGAGCCTCATGGTCACAAAACGCTGCCAGGGGCATCATTTGGGAGCCCCAAGGGGGAGCCACCCTGGCTGATCTCACGAGCCCGTTCGCGCCGATTTTGGTGGGACGTCTCAGCTAGAATTGCCGTTTGGCCTCCCCAACATGTATCTCTTGAGAGCCTCATGGTCGCAAAACGCTGCCAGGGGCATCATTTGGGAGCCCCAAGGGGGAGCCACCCTGGCTGATCTCACGAGCCCGTTCGCGCCGATTTTGGTGGGACGCCTCAGCTAGAATTGCCGTTTGGCCTCCCCAACATGTATCTCTTGAGAGCCTCATGGTCACAAAACGCTGCCAGGGGCATCATTTGGGAGCCCCAAGGGGGAGCCACCCTGGCTGATCTCACGAGCCCGTTCGCGCCGATTTTGGTGGGACGCCTCAGCTAGAATTGCCGTTTGGCGTCCCCAACATGTATCTCTTGAGAGCCTCATGGTCACAAAACGCTGCCAGGGGCATCATTTGGGAGCCCCAGGGGGGGTCCACCAGGGGCTTCATAGTCACCAAACGCTGCCAGGGGCAGCATTTTGGCTTCCCAAAGAGGAGTCGACCCGGGCCTCCTAGTCGCCAGACACTGCCAGGGGCACCATTGGGATTCAGACTCGCACCCAGACTCACTCATACACAAGCTCACTCACACTCAGATTCATTTCTTCAGAGTCAGGCACACACAGACGTACCCATACTCAGACTCACCCACACTCAGGCTCACCTAACCCAGACTCCGTCAGAAGCCAGTAGCGAAGAGAGCAGAGAGGAGAGAGAGAGAGAGAGAGAGAGAGAGAGAGAGAGAGAGAGAGAGAGAGAGAGAGAGAGAGAGAGAGAGAGAGAGAGAGAGAGCGGGAGAGAGCGAGAGAGAGAGAGAGAGAGAGAGAGCGCGCGAGCGCGAGCGCGAGCGCGAGCGCGAGCGCGAGCGAGCGAGCGAGAGAGAGAGAGAGAGAGAGAGAGAGCGAGCGAGCGAGCGAGCGAGAGAGAGAGAGAGAGAGCGAGGAAGAGAGAGAGAGAGAGAGAGAGAGAGAGAGAGAGAGAGAGAGAGAAGAGAGAGAGAGAGAGAGAGCAAGAGAGAGAGAGAGAGAGAAGCGAGAGAGAGGGAGAGGAGAGAGAGAGAGAGAGCGGAGAGAGAGAGAGAGAGAGAGTTGAGAGAGGAGACAGAGCGAGAGAGAGAGAAGAGAGAGAGGAGAGAGAGAGAGAGAGAGAGAGAGAGAGAGAGAGAGAGAAGAGAGAGAGAGAGAGATATAGAGAGAGGGGAGAGAGAGAGAGAGAGAGAGAGAAGAGAGAGAGAGAGAGAGAGAGAGAGAGAGAGAAGAGAGAGAGAGAGAGAAAGAGAGAGAGAGAGAGAGAGAGAGAGCGAGAGAGCGAGAGAGAGAGAGAGAGAGCAGAGAGAGAGAGAGAGAGAGAGCGGGAGAGAGCGAGGGAGAGCGAGAGAGAGCGAGAGAGAGCGAGTGAGAGCGAGAGAGAGAGAGAGAGAGAGCGAAAGAGAGCGACAGAGAGCGAGAGAGAGCAAGAGAGAGCGAGAGAGCGAAAGAGAGAGAGAGAGAGAGAGAAGAGAGAGAGAGAGAGATAGAGAGAGAGATATATATATATATATAGAGAGAGAGAGAGAGAAGAGAAGAGAAGAGAAGAGAAGAGAAGAGAAGAGAAGAGAGAGAGCGAGAGAGAGAGAGAGGGAGAGTGAGAGAGAGAGGAAAGAGCAGAAAGAGAATAGAGAGAAGAGAGAGAGAGAGGGGCACAGAGAGAGAGAGGCAGAGAGAGAGAGAGGCAGAGAGACAGAGGCAGAGAGAGAGGCAGAGAGAGAGAGAGAGGCAGGGAAAGAGAGGCAGAGACAGAGAGAGGGCAGAGAAAGAGAGAGAGAGAGAGAGAGAGAGACAGAGAGAGCAGAGAGAGCAGAGAGAGAGGCAGCTCAGTCACACTTAAAACCAGATTCGTCCTCACCGAGTCCCACCACCAAGGGAGCGCCAGCAAGGAGATGCACATATGGGGATCCCCACATGTGGCATTTGAGCTTCGCGCGGCCCGCTTAGCTCCGACCAGAAGAGGCGCGCTCTCGACCAGCGAATCAAAGAGTGTATCTATTCGTGTGTCCTCGGGCCCCCCTTCCTCCAAGGGGGGGCGCGGCGAGGGCGCGGGGGAGCGAAGATGGCCGCACATCGCGGGGCGCGCCGCGCGGAGCCGCGTCGCCCGGGGCCCCCTCCGACCAGCAGGCCTCTCGGGGCTCCCTGGCGGCGCGCGCCGGGCGGTGGCGCGGGGCGCGGGGCCTCCTGGGAGGCCCGAAAGGGGGCCCAGCTGCAAGGGGGCGGTGCAATAGATTTGGGGCCACTGTATTGCAGACGTTTTGCGCTGGAGAATGGTATTGCGTTGTACTGCAGCTGACGCCTCGCGCGCGAAAGGCCAGCAATACTTTGTTGCGCCCCGGAATGTATTGCACGCCCCAAAGGTATTGCAACCCCACAAATCTAGTGCACCAAATCTATTGCACCACCCCCTTGTCGCTGGACTCCCTTTTGGGTCAACCCGAGTGTGGCCTCCTGGGAGGCCCGGAGGGGGGCTCCTCAGCAGGCCAGGGGCGTCGCAAGTCAAGCAGTGGCGAAGCGTCCTGGCTCAAACAATATTCTAGGAACCTTCTTTGTGGTTTCCACGAAATGTTCTTAGAGCATTTCTGGCAGGGACTGTCTTGTTGTAGCATATCGGGTTTGTATTCTAAGAACATTGTTTTTGTTATTAGAACATTGTTGGGTTCTAAGAACATTTCGTGGTAGGACTATAGGAATGCCGGGACGGTCGGTCCCTGCTCAATCAAGCGACCCCCGGCGCTCGGCTTCTGAGGAGCTCCCCGTGGGCTGCCAAGAGGGCCCTCGCCTTCTAAGGAGCGCCCCGCCCTCCCAGAAGGCCGCCCCTCTTGCGCCATGCCTTTGGTGCCTCACGAAGTTCCCAGATCTCAGCGGCACGACAGAGTCGTTACCGTTGTTGCTCCATTGTTTGGGCATCCCGAGGCCCGTGTCGGTCCCCAGGAACACCAAAAAACGTCGCGATGCGAAGAACCAGGCCCAGGAACGAGGTCGAGAGTTCTGGCGGCTCGCGTCGCGAACCAGGACATCACGTCGGCCGTCTGGGCAGGCAGCTCAGATTTTCGAGGAGGGAGCGATGCCGCGCTCTCGTGCGCTTTTGGGCCTGTTGGCAGAGGAAGCCTCCGGCGGTCTGGCCAGCCCGCGTCTCCGGGCGGGCGTGCACGTCGCAGTGCGCGCTCTGCTGCCTCGAGATGCGGGACTGGGGTCCACTGGATGTGTTCGGTCCCCCCTCTGCCTCTTCCTCCCCTGCACCCACCCCATCTTCCCCGTCCTCGTCCTCCTTCTCCTCCCGGTTCTCCTCATCATCCTCGTCATCCTCCCGACGCCTCCTCCGCCTCCTCCCTCCTCCTCCCTCCTCCTCATCCTCCCTCCTGCTGCTGCTGCTGCTGCTGCACCTCCTCCTCCTCCTCCTCCTGTTTCTTCTCCCGCTCCTACGCCTTCTCATCCTTGCATGGGCTGCATCGGCACTGTTCCTAGGGGTTGTTTTCCATGGTGGCTCATTTTTTGCTTGATGACTCAAGGGACATCGTTCAACAGCACGCAACCGAACGAACAGACGAAACGACGGGATCACGACATCGGAGGTCTGGGACATCGTCCCCTCTCCCTCTTCCGCAGCCCATCACCAGCGTGAAAATCCTAGGGGGGAGGGTCCAGGACGTCCTCGAGAACAGGACGGAGAAGGTCATGCAGAACAACAAGTGGTTCACGCTCCACGTCGCAGAGTACCTCAAGACGCACTCGGGTCAGGACACCGCCAGGGAGGCGGGAGGGCGAGGAGGAGACGGCTGGCTCGCGCTGCCCCGACGAGGCGGCGACGCCGGTGCTTGCTGCCAGCACTGGGACCGCTCCTCCCCGCCTCCTCCTCCTCCTCCTCCTCCTCCTCCTCCTCCTCCTCCTCCTCCTCCTCCTCCTCCTCCTCCTCCTCCTCCTCCTCCTCCTCCTCCTCCTCCTCCTCCTCCTCCTCCTCCTCCCTCCTCCTCCTCCTCCTCCTCCTCCTCCTCCTCCTCCTCCTCCTCCCCTCCTCCTCCTCCTCCTCCTCCTCCTCCTCCTCCTCCCTCCTCCTCCTCCTCCTCCTCCTCCTCCTCCTCCTCCTCCTCCTCCTCCTCCTCCTCCTCCTCCTCCTCCTCCCCTCCTCCCCTCCTCCCCGCTCCGGCCTCATGCAGGTCTCGAACTCGCCGACCTGGGTGCCGATGTGGTTCCGAGTGGTCAGAGCCTTCTGGGCTATGAGAGCGGACACGCCGCATACGCTGCGGGCGGCACGACCTCCCACAACCTGCTTTCCTCGACCATCTGTTTGATCGCGCTGTCATAGCATTCAACCCACAATGTTAGGATGGGAGACCTTCCCAGGGGTACCCTTGCATCCTTGCCTCCTCGGTCACTTTCGTTGGCCGCGCCCCGCGAAAAGCTTCGACATGGGCGTCCAGGGCCCCTGCATCCTTATCGCGCAGCCTTATCGTATGGGCCGACCGTGCACGGCGTGCGGCACGAACTCGCACGACCTGCCTTCCTCGACCATATGGGGGGGCTCGCTATTATAACGTATATTTTGCAAATCCATCGCGTCGCGGTCAGGCAACGCAGCCCGCGTGGCAACATCGGTGAGAGTGCGGGAGGCGACGAGAGGACTGCGAGGGGCGCGAGCGGCAGCGGAAGAAGCCGGGGAGTGCCCGACGACCACACGGAGACGCCTCGGCGGCCCATGGGTGCCAGATTCCGCTCGGTGCTGGGGCACGCCTCCTCCTCCTCCTCCGCCTCCTCCTCCGCCTCCTCCTCCTCCTCACGCCCCTTGGGCGGCGCACGTGGCGCCCCCCCGCCGCGGAGGGGCCTCGTGGCGCCGGTGGAGGCCTTCCGCCCGCGGGCGTCCTGGATGTGCGCTCGAGTGTCTGGTCGGCCCCCGCCGGCCAGTTCGCCATGCCGTCACCCGGCTTGCCAGAGCGCGCGAGCGGGCTGCCCATGACGCGCTGCGACGTAAAGTCAGGATGGGACAAAAAACACAGAACGTATGGGCAGTGGGGGGAAGACGAAAACCCAGAAAATATATGTGAAAGCATGGGGAATCCTGTCATTTGTGTGTATTTATGTGTGTGTGTGTCCCAGGGCCCCTTCATGATGAGCTCGTCCCGCCCTCATGGGCGTGAAGGGTCGCAGAGCAAAGAGCGGCAGACTGTGAACGTGGAACTGTGGAGCTCCGCGCGGATTTCCTGCATCAGCGCTGGACCGCGCCGGGGGCGGCGCCGTAGGCGCCGCCCGGGGAGCCCAGCGCCGATCACAGAATGCAGCGCGGAGCTCCACATGTCAATGCTGATGCCGCCCTGTGCTCCTCTCGAGAAGCCAAGCGAGGGAGCACCTCTGTCAGGACCTCGGTCGGCCTCGGGGCCTGGTCCCGCGGCTCCCTCGGGCGTCTGGGGGGGATCGGACAGACCATCGCATGGCGGACTTGGACAGGATCCCACCGTCTCGTCGGCGGCCTCGTTTATAGGGTGTCACTCCCCTTCCTCCCCATCCTCTGTCTCCTCCTCCCTCCTCCGTGCCCCCTTCCTCTCCCTGCGCCTTTGTCGAGCAGCTTCCCGTCTTCTTCATCCCTCCCTCCATCTTCGTCCTTCCATTTTCCTCTCCACGTGCCTCTCGGTCTTCATCATCTCTCCCTCCCTCTGGCTTCCCTTGTCCGTGTAGCGGCGAATCCCCACTGCATCGCGTGGCTCCCTCGTTTTATCAGCGGAGTCGTCCGATCGGCATGTCCCTCCCTCGCTCTCCCTCCCTCTGCTTTCGTCCATCATAGTTCGCTCTGTGCGCACATCAACCGGACCTGTTGTGTGAGAGCCAGCAGGGTGAAATAGAGCACGCACTTGCAGATGTAACTGCGCGGCGTCACATGAGGTCAGAAGGCAAAACGTAGATGCAGGATTCCCCCTGCTCCTGCGCCTGCTCCTCCTCCTCCTCTTCCTGTCCCAGGGCTTCTGCAACGCGATGCTCATCGACAGCGACACCCTCTTCGTTAGGCCGGTGGGGGGGTACCTGGTGGACTGCGGTGTCTCGCCTGACTGGGACGTGGGCTCCGAGTGGGGCCGAGGCCACCCCGAGGTCCCCCGGCGGGAGGGAGCTGGGGGGCGCGACCACGATGCATATTTTGATTAGCGCGACAATGCAAACACTGAGAATCGAGAGTTCGCATCCCGTTACGTGCGGCTGTTAAGCGGTCGTCAAACACCGAGCGATTCCGTGTTTGGGTTGTGTGGCTTTGCGATGCTAAACGATAGGCGTGGCCGCCATTCTTCTCTTCGGAAACGATTAAACGCCCGACCATCGAGTAGTGTTGCCATGGACGGCGAAAAGTTGGACCCATTGCCAGCGTGGTGGGGGAAAGCGGGGGAGGGGCAGTCTACACCTCCGACTCCAGCTGCTGCTCCCCTGCGCTTCTTATAAAGCCTTGGCCCTTCCATGGAGGTGCCGGAGGATTCACGGTCTACGATCCAGAGTTTGTCGTGCCTTGGGCGAGTGATTCCGCTCAGGTGGGGAGGACGCGCGGCAAGGGGTTCTCCAGGATCAACACGGGGGTGGTGCTCCTGAACCTGAGGGCTGCAAAGGCTGGCGCCGTGACTCCCGCCAAATTGATGCGGAAGTTCAGGTGGTGTGATCCCATGGGTAGCTTTGACCTTGTTTCATTATCTCCCTCATACCCGCCCGCTCAGCCTACAAGCCAATCCCTTTCTTAGGGGGGGGGGCGTGGCCCATGCGCGCCATGCCGCCACGGCCGTCCTGCGAGCGAACCCGCCCGCGGGCACTTCGCCAACTTGGTTGAATTCAGAGGCAATCTCGGGCGAGAACGCCGTTCCTGAGTCGTTGTGATCGTAGCTAGGCCGCCATGAGTTGCGGGAAGGTCTCGAGCGAGAGCGCCGTTCCTGAGTTCGGGGGGCATTCTGACCAAGGCGTGTCGGGGTAAATCGCGAGGGTGCATACAGCGGGAGCCGTTGTCGTCGTAACACGTCTTGCACTGATTCGATTGGGTTGCGAGGAAATCTCGAGCGAGAACGCCGTCCCTGAGTGGGCGGGGGCCTCTGGCCAGGGCGTCTCGGTGTAAATCGTAGGGAAGTATCCAGCGGGAGCCGCTGTCGTCGCAGAGAGGCTTTCACTAACTTCATTGAGTCGCGAGGAAGTCTCGAGCGAAATCGCCGTCCCTCCGTTTTGGGAGCCTCTCTGGCCAGAGCGTCCGGGAGGAAATTGTGAGGACATACCGAGCGGGAGCCGTTGTCGTCTCAGCCGGGGCTTCAACAGCCCAGCTTTGGAATCAAGCCGGCGCTCGAGCGGGAGCCTCGCTCACAAAGACAGAGTAGCCTGCGTCGGGGCGTGCGCGTCCGCAGCCGTTTAACGTCTCGGCAATGCCTGTTCTCCAGGAGTGGATATCCAACGAAAACGACATCGAGGGCCACGGCAACGACGACAACGATGGCCAGGATGAGGAGGAGGACGAGGAGGACGAGGAGGAGGAGGAGGAGGAGGGGGAGGAGGAGGAGGAGGACGAGGAGGAGGAGGAGGAGGAGGAGGAGGAGGATAGGGAGGATGAGGAGGAGGGGGAGGAGAAGGAGGAGGAGGAGGAGGAGGAGGAGGAGGAGGAGGAGGGTCGGAGGCGGCGGGTGAGACCGAAGTGGCCAGGAGTCCTCCAGCGGGGAGGTCGATCTCGGCTCCGCTGCGTGCCCTGCGCGGCGCGCGTGCGGGCGAGGCGAAGGCGCGCCTTGCTTAGGGCCGGTTGCCATCCGGCTGCCCTTCCCCGGGCGCCCCGCGGCGGGGCCCGTGCTGCACGTCGCGGTCGTCCCGGCGTCGTCCCGCGGTTGGCTCGCGGTGGTCTCGTGACTGCTCCGGGGGCGTTGCGGCGCTGTCCCGTGGCTGTCCCGCGGTTGTTTCGTGGTTGTCTCCTGGTTTCTCCCCGCGGTTGTCCCCCCGTGGAAGTCCCGTGCTTGACCGTGGTCAGCCCGCGGTTGTCGCGTGGTTGTGCCGTGTTCGTCCTGTGGCTGTTCCGTGGCCGTGTCGTTGTTATCTGTTGGTCGTCCCATGGTTGCCCCTGTGTCCTGAGGTTGTTTCGTTGGTGCATTCGATGGCGGTGCCGCTTGTTGTTCCGACGGTTGTCCTGCGGTTTATTCCCCAACCATCTTGTGGTGTTGGGTTCTCGTTTTGAAGAGATCGCCCCGCGTTTTCCCGCCTCTTTCCTCCCGCTTCTTCCCCACTCTTGCCTCTGCTCTCTCGCATGCCAATTTCGGCACACCCCTCACACGGTTCGTGGCCCCATGGGGAGCTCCACCGAAGGCCCCAGTGGCAGAGTTCACATGCGCCCACCCCGCCCGCCGCATATCCAGTTCGGCACACCCCTCACACGCTTCCTGAACCCATAGGGAGCTCCACCGACGGCCCCAGTGGCTGCGTTCGCATGCGCCCACCGCACCCATTGTGGCACACCCTTCACACGCTTCGTGGCCCCGTAATGAGCTCCACCGAAGGTCCACACGCCAGAGTTCGCATGCGCCCACCGCGCCCTGTCGGCACACCAGCACACGTTTCGCGTCCCCAGAGGGAGCTCCACCGACGGCCCCAGTGGCTGCGTTCGCGTGCGCCCACCGCGCAAATTTCTTGCACGCCCCTCCCACGCTTCGTGGTCCACATGCCAGCGTTCGCACGCGCCCACTGCACCCATGTTGGCACACCCCTCATACGTTTTGCGGCCCCATCGGGAGCTCCACCGATTGCCCCAGTGGCTGCGTTCGCATGCGCCCGCCGTCGTGGCCCCGTAGGGAGCTCCACCCAAGGCCCCAGTGGCTGCGTTCGCGTGCGCCCACCGCGCCCAGTTGTGGCACACCCTTCACACGCTTCGTGGCCCCGTAATGAGCTCCACCAACGGCCCCAGTGGCTGCGTTCGCAGGCGCCCACCGCACCCATTTTGGCACACCATGGCCCCAGAGGGAGCTCCACCGACGGCCCCAGTGGCTGCGTTCGCGTGCGCCCACCGCGCAAATTTCTTGCACACCCCTCACACGTTTCGTGGCCCTATAGGGAGCTCTTCCGAATGCGGTGCATACAACATCAGTGCTCACAATTGCATATGGTTGGGTCCTTCGCTAGGCTAATGTGGTTGTCCCGACGGTGGTTCTGTGTTTGTTATGTTGTTGTTTGGTGGTTATGCTCCGATTGTCCCATTGGTTGGTTCTCTCGTTGTTCCATGTTCCAGTTGTTGTTTCGAGGGTTGTGCAGTGATTGTCGTGTGCCGAGTCCGTGGTTGTGCCGCGGTTGTTCTGGTGTGTAGTCCAGTGGATGTCCCTCGGTTGTTCTGTGGTTGTCTTCTGGTCGCCCCGTGGTTGTCCCGTGGTTGTACCGCGGTTGTGTTGTATTCGTCCCATGGTTGTCCCGCGGTTGTTCTGTACGTATTTGTTTCGCGGACGTCCCGTTGTTGCCCCGTGGTTGCTACGAGTTTTGTTGTTGTTTCGTTCATTGGTTCGATGGTTGTTTCGATCGTCGTTCCGTCGGCTGTCCCGTGGTTGTTTTGCCGTCGTGGTGTGGTTATTCCGCCCTTGTTTCGTTTGAGTGACTTGATGGTTGTTCCGATTGTTGTTCAAGAGGTTGTGTTGTGGTTGTTTCGTGATTTGCCCGTGATTGTCCTGCGGTCGTCCAGTCGCTGGTTGTCGTTGAAGTGGTTGGTTATCGTTCGATAGTTCTGCTAAGAATGGACCAGGATGGAGATCGATAGATGATATCGGCATCTTTAGACGGGTAAATCGAGATGCCGACCCGACACCATTCGCAAATCGAAAGTAGCCCCTACCCCCCCCCCCCCACCGCCTTACAACCCGAAGAGTGGCTCTTCGGCAACGACACGAGAGCACGCGCTGCGTGGGGCCTTCAAGATGGAGGAGGGCAACGCAGAGGAGGAGGAGGAGGAGGAGGAGGAGGAGGAGGGGGAGGAGGAGGAGGAGGAGGAGGAGGAGGAGGAGGAGGAGGCGGAGGCGAAGAGCATCAGAAGGAGAAGGAGCAAGATCGAAGCTGGAGAGAGGGGGGTACGGGGGCGAGGCGAGGAGGCGGAGCGGAAGGAGCACGGGGGGCGAGGGGGAAGGACGAGGCGGACAGGAGGGGGGCGGAGGCCAGTTTTTTTTGGGGGGGGGGGGGGGGGCGGCTCGAGACCCCACGCGCCAGCACAGAGCGGCCCCTCTCCCCGCCGAGCCCCGGCGGCGCGGCGGCCTCGCCCCCCCCTCTGTGGACTCGCCGAGCGCGCGCCGCAGCTCGCAGAGTGCCTACTCGCAGACGCCCGAAAAAGACGCGCCTGCTTGAATATAACGTATCGTCGACCTTGAGCGTGGACCCCCCGCGGTGGACCCCCCGCGGTGTCACTTTGATCTAGTTTCTCGTCGATTTGAAACCACGCGTTTGCTTTGATATATATATATATATACATATATATATATATATATATATCTGATCGTCGATCCCCCGCGACGGATCCAGGCCCTTTGCGAGCAGCGGCTTTGCGAGCAGCGGAGCGCGTTGGCCTGTTGGCGCCCGTCGCCTGCACGGGCCGCGCCCCGCACCGTGTGGCCGGCAGGCCACCCGGGCCCGGATCGACGCCGTCGCGGGTGCCTCGGGGCACATCTGCCTGCAGGTCGGCGGCGAAGTCCGGCGGACTCGTACCCTCGCCGACCCACGATCTGGGCAGTGCGGGGGGCGGCGGTGGCAGGATCCGGCAGCCGTCGAGCACGGCGAAGTCTGGACCCTGCCCTCGCCTCGCATGTCGGGGCTCAAGGGACGGGAGTCAATGCAAACGGGGGTCAGCCAGGGCACCGGATCCTGCAGGATCCTGCGAAGACCCCCTCGGGCTGACCCGGGTTAGCGAGCCGCTCGTGGCCGCGAGGCGGCCGCGCATATTGGCTCACCTGGGTGTGCGAAGACCTGCGTTGCAGTTTTTTTCCTGCATCGCAGTTTTTTGGTTTCCTGCTGACCCGGGTCTGCATTGACCCGGGTCAGAAGTTCGGCGGCGGCAAAGAGGGGGGTGATGACTAGGGGGGTGGATATCATGGCGGGGGCCATGATATTTCCCAGACTTCATGACGCCTCTTCTTATCTCATTACGTCCCTGGCCCCCCCGCTGGGCCGCGCACATGCCGCCGGTCATGATTTGCACCCCCCCCTCTTGGACACCCCCCTCTTGGCCGCTCCCGAAAGATCCCCGAGCACGGACTCCGGGGAGCCGATGGTTGGCGGGGGGGTAGGGTTCGGCTGTCGCCGCCCGGCAGGCGTGCGGCGCCGAGGCGGGCGAGATTTGCGCGTTCGGGTCGTGCAGGCACTGCGCGCGCCGCGGAAGCAGCAGCTGCGCGCGTAAGGAGGTGCAGACGGTCCGTTGGCCGGCGACGGAGGCTGTCAGGTCTTGAGTCTATCTCGGGGGTGGACAGACCTCCTACCCCGACACGTCGATTAGTGAATTGGCCGTTTCCGGTTCGCGAGAGGGCGTCGCGGCTGTCATTGTTGCGGGTCCAGGTCCGCCGGTTTCCGTCCCAGGCCGTTTCCACGAAGGGGAGGTCTATTGAAGGGAGGTTTGTCCACCGCCGACGATCACCGACTCGTGACAGTTGCACCGGTAGGGGCTGTGGGAGGAGATGCCGGGGGCAACGATAGGAGGGGGGGGATGGGCACAGGGGGGGGCGCATCGACCCCCAATCGCCCACGGATCGCCGAGAAGGGCCTGATCGCCCCACCCCCGCCCAGGAAGGTGCGGCTTCGCCGTCGGAGGGCCGTCGCCGCTCTGTGGGCGATGCTTTTTTGTCGCCGATCTGTCGACGAGGTATTGCCGCTCCCAGGTCGATCCAACCCCCCCTGAATGCCAGTCCCACTCTGTCGTTGCCCTTCAAGATGGGGGGCAATGACGGTGACGGGTGTTTTTTTTTGGGGGGGGGGGGGGCACGTGGGCAGGGGAAGGCCGGGACGGCGCAGCGCGAGCAGCTCGACCCACTCTCCAGGAGGGGAGAGTCCGGCGGAGCCACGGGCCGTGCAGGACTTCCTCGTCCGGTGGGCGCAGGCGACGCGTGTGCGTGCCTCGGGGCGGAGAGTGCCCGCGTTGGCTTCTGCCGCGGCTCTCTCTTGTGAGTCTGTCCCTCCATCGCGTCCCTTGTCCTCCCTCCTCCCTACTCCCTCCTCCCTCCTCCCTCCTCGATGCATCTCCGCGAGGTCTGAGCGACCCAACGAGATCTGGCCAGATGATCAGATCGATGCAGAGTCGTTTTTTTCGGAGAGCGCCTGGGACAGATAGGTGGTAGTTATGGAGGGGGGGGGGCCGCCACACTCGGTCTCAGTGGCATCCCCGCCTGCTGCTTATCACTGCTCCAGCTCCGGTCCGATTCTCCACTCGTTCCCCTTCTGGACGCCTGGCACATCGCCACCAACCCAGCATGCAGAAGCGAATCTGCGGCGGGCCCCGCCTGAGCGAGGAGAGTATCGGATAACCAAATGATTCACTAGTTTTCGTGCCACTCCCACCCCTTCGGGGAGGCCCCGCCTGAGCGAGGAGCGTGTCGGAACTCCATACTGGTTACACGGTTTCGTGCCCCTGACACCTCTCTGGGAAGGCCCCGCCAGAGCGCCATTGAGGCTTTTGACAGGCCCCGAGCGCGCCCACAGAGGCCCCACCAAGCTGCCCATTTAGGCCCCATTGTGACATCCTCATGTGGCGAATTCTGGTAGCATAATTTTGTATTTTCCAGTTGGAGCGAGTGGAGTATGGTATTATTTCCCCACATTTCGTGGGGTTCTGGTTTTCTTCCCTGTCGCGCCGCACCCGCGTCTCACACCTCCCCCCTCCCCTTCTCCTTCTCGCACAGCACAGCACATCACGGCACGGCACGGCACAGCACAGCTCACCGCACAGCAGCACAGCACAGCACAGCACAGCACAGCATACCACACAGGGCATTCCTTCGACGCCACAGGGGGTGGGGGTGCGCAGAGGGTGGTCCCTCAGCGCGGCCTCTATCCCTGAAACGCTCGCAGATCGAGGCAGGCGTGGCACCTTCTCGACACCACAGGGGGTGCGCAGAGGGTGGTCCCTCAGCGCTGCCTCTATCCGTGACATGCTCGCAGATCGTGGCAGGAGTGGCATTTTCTCGAAGCCGCAGGGGGTGCGCAGAGGGTGGTCCTTCAGCGCGGCCTCTATCCGTGACACGCTCGCAGATCGTGGCAGGAGTGGCACTGTCTCGACACCACAGGGGTTGCGCAGAGGGTGGTCCCTCAGCGCGGCCTCTATCCGTGACACGCTCGCAGATCGTGGCAGGAGTGGCACTTTCTCGACACCACAGGGGGTGCGCAGAGGGTGGTCCCTCAGCGCGGCCTCTATCCGTGACACGCTCGCAGATCGTGGCAGGAGTGGCACTTTCTCGACACCACAGGGGGTGCGCAGAGGGTGGTCCCTCAGCGCGGCCTCTATCCGTGACACGCTCGCAGATCGTGGCAGGAGTGGCATTTTCTCGACACCACAGGGGGTGCGCAGAGGGTGGTCCCTCAGCGCGGCCTCTATCCGTGACACGCTCGCAGATCGTGGCAGGAGTGGCACTTTCTCGACACCACAGGGGGTGCGCAGAGGGTGGTCCCTCAGCGCGGCCTCTATCCGTGACACGCTCGCAGATCGTGGCAGGAGTGGCACTTTCTCGACACCACAGGGGGTGCGCAGAGGGTGGTCCCTCAGCGCGGGTATCCGTGACACGCTGCGCGCAGTGACACGTTCGCAGATCGTTGCATGAGTGGCACTTGCTCGACACCACAGGGGGTGCGCAGAGGGTGGTCCCTCAGCGCGGCCTCTATCCGTGACACGCTCGCAGATCTTGGCAGGAGTGGCACTTTCTCGACACCACAGGGGGTGCGCAGAGGGTGGTCCCTCAGCGCGGCCTCTATCCGTGACACGCTCGCAGATCGTGGCAGGAGTGGCACTTTCTCGACACCACAGGAGGTGCGCAGAGGGTGGTCCCTCAGCGCGGCCGCTATGCACGACGGTCGTCCAGGGCATAGCAGGCGTGGCACTTTCTCGACACCATAGAGGCTGCGCAGGGGGTGGTCCCTCACCGCGGCTGCTATGCACGACGGTCGTCCAGGGCATAGCAGGCGCGGCATTTTCTCGACACCATAGAGGCTGCGCAGGGGGTGGTCCCTCACCGCGGCCGCTGGCTGGCTCGAATCTGTCCTCGACGGAGGATAGAAGGCTAGGAAGAGGGAGGAGGTTCAAGCAATATGGCGTTGGATGACACATAGGGGAACATTTGCGACGAGGGCTGAGAACGCAGAATTGCACATCTATTATAAACTTAAGCAAACACTCAATATTTAAGTTAAGTATGTGGGGTTCCTCGGTAGCGTAATTTACTAGACTGTCCAGGAGCCGTGAGCAGCAGCAGCAGCAGCAGCAGCAGCAGCATCAGCAGCTCCTCCCCCTCCTCCTCCCTCTCCTCCTCCTCCTCCTCCTCCTCCTCTTCCTCCTCCTAGTCCTCCTCCTCCTCCTCCTCCTCCTCCTCCTCCTCCCATCCTCCTGTTCTTCCTCTCTTCCCCCTGCCGGCTGCCTAGGCGACGATTTGGCTCACCAGCAGCGGGGAAGAAGACATCGGCAAGCGCCTCGACCCTCCCGCTGCGTCTGCGCGCTCGGTGCCAGGCTGTGGCCTGGAAGGCGATTGGCAGATCGTTGGGTGGGAGGCGCAGGGTACGAGGAGGCGGAGGAGGCATCCGGAATGGAAGCTGGCCGGAGCGGGACGGAGGTGAAAGGATAAGATTTGGGAGAACGGAGGACGACGATGGATGAGGATCAGGAGGGAGGAAGGAAGGAGGAGGCGGTGGAAACAGGAGGAGGAGGAGAAGACTGACAACGATAGAGGCGGAGGGCGGAGGATGGAGGGGAAAGGGAAGGATGATGCAGACGAGGACGGGGAGATCGGGAGGTGGATCGGGGAGGGGGAAGGGGCAGGAGGGACGGAGCAGAAGGGGATCTGCAGTCCGAGGCCGAGCCCGAGCGGGAGAGGGCCTCCTCCGGTCCTCGTGGGTGCCCGTCTGTGGGGCCTGTAGGGCTCCTCTCGGGAGCCTGCTGGCGGTTTCGGGGGTCGCTGTGGGACTGGTGGGTGCCTGCAGATGTCAGTTTGAGTCTCTTGGCGACGGCCCCGCCCCATCCCCTGAAGTCGGGCAGGTCCCTCGACAGGAGGGAGATGCAAGAATAGTTGAACATAGTCTGGGGACGATGTTTCGATTATTTGTTTAACATGTTTCGAATATGTCTGACTAGTTTATATTGGTTGTCCAAAGTTCCGCCTGTAGGAGGATATGCCCGACCTATCCCTCCCACCAGGGAGCAACTGTTCCTCAACTTCAGGGGTGATTCGGGCACGCCCAGGTCACACGTGGCAGGAGCCGGACCTGCTGCGGTGGCAACACTGGCACGACGAGCTCGTCGAGGAGTTCAAGGGGCCCAACCAGGCCACGGCGGCTGCCAAAAAACAGCCACTTCCCGTTCCTCCTGCCTTGCCTCCCTCTCCCAGCCCATAACTTCCCCCTTCTCCCTCCCTTCCCCAGATGCAGCAGCTATTTGGGCTCAAGTCGTTGGCTTCAGACGGTGAAGCGGACACCGCTGATCTGCGGCCAGCATCCAAAGTCTTCTTCAGCAGCGGGTCTGCCTCAGTTGCTGACTGCCTCCCGCGCCCGCGGGTGAGCAGATCCCGAAACCACGGCCCACTCGGGCCGATCCTTTCTTTTACCATGGCGCCTCTCTCTCTATTGTTTTTCTCTCTCGCTCTCTCTTTCTCTCTCTCTCTCTCTCTTTCTCTTTCTTCTCTCTCTCTCTCTCTCTCTTTCTGTTTCTTCTGGCGATCATGCAGAGAGTTGGAAGTGGGCCCGCCCACCATGGGTCAGGAAGTGCCCAGGTTGTCAATGTGCCCAGGTTGCCAATGGACCCTGTTGGAAGTGCCCAGGTTGTCAATGTGGGAAGAACTGTGCTCCTTGGCCAATGTGGGAAGAACGCTGCTCCTTTCCGCTGGTGCAAGCACTGTGGGGACTGGACTGGCGTCCCTCAGGACAATAATGTATCCATCACGAGCTTCGCCCTGACTTTTGCTTGGCCAGGGGCCCGCCCCGCGAGCCAACAGTGGGCGTCTCCAGCCTCAGATGCAGGGAGTTGGAAGCTGTGGCGTCTTCAGCAGGGAAGTGTGGGCAGAGCCAGCCCGCGATTGCTTGCTAGTAGCGCATCAAGCAGATCGATAAGCAACCACCGCCGCCTCCCCCATCGGAGAGCCAACTCACGGCGGCTGGGAAATCCCTTGACGACCAGGAGCACAGATTTCGCAAAACAGCGGACAAGCATCATAAGTGGCAGCGTGACCTGGAGCAGCATTGGGAACACATCGGGTCGGTTAAGTAGAAGCTCGATGAGCTGCAGAGCAGCTATCACAACATCGCCCTCTCGGTTGCCTCCACAGCAGCAGGCCCCAAGCCCGAGACACCCACCCAGCCTACACTTTCGCTCGCAGCCTGGTTAAGACGTGGTTCGCAGGCGCGGCCGACAGAAGCCGCTAAGGTTCGAATGGAGCACCAAAAGCACAAGGTGGGGCATCTCGAGCCAGGCGGAGGCGCTGCGAGAGCTAGAGGCAGAGTCTAAGGAAATCCGTCGGAGGTTGGTCGCCATTTGGGCCGCTTTGGCGACGACCCCATGAGACAGACGGTGTTCCGGCCTTTCTCACACAAGCTGGCGCTGTCCATGTTCAGGAGTAAGAGGGGCAGACCGAGAAAGACATGGCTGTGAGATTCATGCGCACGCTGTCCGGGCAGCTGGGGGCGAGGAGGCCCTTGCGCATCTTCGGCAATATTCAGCGCAGTCCATCGCAGCCTGGCACGCGACTGTCACGCGGTATTGCGATGCCCTCTGAGGCTGTTTTTCGTGCTCATGTGCGTTTTTGCACTCAGCTTTTTTTGTTTTTCTCTCTCTCTCTCTCGTCCAGGAACGGAAGTGCAGGCGCCCTTCGGCTCGGCCAAGCCGAAGTTGGACCTGCCACGCGCTCCTGGGACTTTGTGCCCCGACCTGTATACTCGTCGTCGTTGACATTCCGTTCGCGTGGTACCGAACCGCCCAAGCGCCAGGGGCGGCGCCGGAGGCGCTGCCAGGGGGGTCCAGCGCCGTTACGTCGGGGGTGGAAAAGAAGGGGGTGATGACAAGGGGGGGTGGATTTCATGGCGCGGGCCATGATATCTCCCCAGATTTCATGGCGCCTCTTCTTATCTCGTTACGCCCCTGGCCCCCCCGCTGGGCCGCGCACATGCCGCCGGTCATGGTTTGCACCCCTCCTCTTAGACCCCCCCTTATTGGCCGCTCCCGAGAAAGGGGGGGTACGAAATCTGCTGTATGCAGCTGGTTTCGGCCCCACCGAGGGGCCCATTCCTCGATACATAGCCGCCTCCGGCGCCGGGAGGCGCTGGGAGAATCAGCTACGTGAGCTGATTCTCAAAACCCACCTCTGCTATCCCCCCATTTTCGCCCGACCCGAGGGGAGCTTGTCCAAGAGTTATGATGTTCCAATCCACTCCAGCCTCGATCACCAGAAAGAATGTCGAGCACCAAGCAAGGACCGAAACTGGGGGGTTCCCTCGTGTCGGGCCCCGGGAGGCGATACTCGTTCGACACTGCTTCGATCCTGTTCGGGGTGCTCGAAGTTATTGAATCGTTTCGTTCATTCCGCCGGCCCTGGAACGCTATTTGGGGCCTTTGGAGGCCGTATGGGGGGCTTCTTGGGTTTTTTTTGGGAGCGTCTTGGGGCTCCTTGGCGGCGTATTGGGCTCCCCTGGGGCCTCTTGGGGGGCTCTTGGGGGCTCCTTGGGGCGGGAGGGGGGGTAGTCGATTGCAGCCACCCCCCTCGGAGGCCACGATCCTCGTGAGGGGTGGCGAAAAATAGCCTCCCCTTCTGGGGATCGCCCGGGACCCGGCCGGGGATCAGCCGGGGTATTTCTCGTCCGGGGCCCTCCAGGGGCCGCCCCGCGCGCGCGAACTAGAAATATTGTTAAGTAGTTACCGGAGATCTTAGCACGCCTCTGGCCCGTTGGGCCGGCGAATTTCGGGGATGCGGTCCTGAGGTACGACGGGGGCAACATAGTCCAATAGTGCCCGACCACCACCAGGTCGGGGCTGCAGCATTCGGGGGTGGACAGACCACCTACCCTGACACGTCGATTAAGGAATTGGCCGTTTTCGGTTCGCGAGATGGCGTCACGGCCGTCATTTTTGCGGGTCCAGGTCCGTCGGTTTCGGTCCCAGGCCGTTTTCACTAAGGGGAGGTTTACTAAAGGGAGGTTTGTCCACCGCCGACCCATGCCAGGAAGCACCCTGCTTGCCTCCAGGGTGCCCTGGGTCTCTTGGGCTTCGATGGCTTTACCATGGGAAGCGTGACGCTCCCAGACCAAACATCGAAAAATCCATGGACGTCCTGGGGTCTCAGGGTTGGGTTTCTTGTGGAAGGTCTCTTGTGGAATGGCCTCCACTGTAATGCAATCAAATCCCTTCCCAAATTCTCCCCCCCCCTTCTCCCACCCACGAATCGGTTACACGACCGAGTGAGTGTCGGGCGCCCCTGGATTTTAGGTCAGGCCTTTTGGATGACTGTTGACGTCTCTTGGGGGGCCTCTCGGAAGCCTATTGGAGGCAGCTTTGGGGTGTCGCGGGGCTTCTCTGGCCCGTTGGGGCCTCCTTTGGGCCCCTTGGGAGCTTACCAGGGCTTCTCGGGCGCCTCCTGGGGCGGAGGGCTCGACATGCCAGTTCGTGTTCCCCCTCTTGGGCCCCTCCTGGGGATCCTGACTGTACAATGTTCGATACGAGAAGCCCTGAGATCCGACGTCGCAAAAAGATCAGAACATGGTAAGAAATCACGGCCAGAGCCCTAGACCCCATCTCTCTGCGCCGTTTTTCGAGCCGGATCGATCTGAGAGGGCCCTGGGGCCCGACAGCGAGCGAAAACGCCCGGCTCGAAAATTGTGAATCGCCAGGATCTCAGGGGACCACGCGCCACGACCGGTGACCACAGCATGCCAGGGCCGGGGACCACGGGCCACGGCCAGAGAGAGACCACAGCCGGAGACGCGGGCCGCGGCCAGAGCCGGGAGCCTCGAGACGGGGGTCAATGCAAACGGGGGTCCTGCAGGATCCTGCGAAGACCCCCTCTGGCTGACCCGGGTTAGCGAGTCGCTCGTGGCCGCGAGGCGGCCGCGCATATTGGCTGACCCGGGTTTGCGAAGACTTGCGTTGCAGTTTTTGGTTTCCTGCTGGCCCGGGTCTGGATTGACCCGGGTCAGAAGATCCCCGACAGAGAGGCCACGGCCAGAGGCCACGCACCACTGGCTCAGGATTTTTGGCGAGTCACCCGCCGACCTTCAGATGTGATGCAGCACCCGTGCAGTCCTCTTCCTTCTCCCCTTCCTCCCTGAATGTGGTGACGTTTACCTGGCCGGCCAACTTACAGCCCTGCCGCTATCGAGTCATTTGTGGGTGCGGTTAGCCCTCTCCCTGGAGGGGAAGCGGATTTGACGCTCACTCGAGTTTGTCCTGCCCATGGGCGGACATGGGGTGCTTGTGTTTTTTGTTAAGAAAAGCAGTCGAAGAAGAAGACGCGCCATGTACATAAACTTTTTGCGCTCCGCGCGGATTTCTTGGATCCGCTGGGCCCCCCGGCGGCGCCTCCGGCGCCGCCCCTGGCGCGCTCCGCGCTCCAGCGCAGATCCAAGATATCCGTGTTCTCCTCATATTGGGGAAAACGTGATATCACTTGGACTGCATAGGAGCGCATCGGCAAACGGAGCACACGCATGAACAAGTGGCCACGCAAAAGGGGCGTGCAGGACACGTTGTACACGCAGCGCGCCTAGGAGGGACGCGCGCCTTCATCCAGGGTGCCCTTGTGTCCGGGCCTCTGGGGCCCGTGCTTTGCCGTTTTCACTGGTCGCCCACCGCCCGAAAAGTCTGAGCTTCGGCCTCCCGTCCTTTATACGTTTTGCTTTGTAATATACGTAAGCAGAAGCACATAGGATTAAGTCGGGCCTGTCCCTCTACAGGAAGGATATTCAAAAATAGGCCAAAAATGGTACGGGGACGATCTTTTTACATGCTTTTCGTATTTTTTTATTTCTTATTTCAAAAATCCCCCCTGTAGGGGGGCAGGCCCGACTTAAACATAGGAGCACATTGAGATTCATGGGGATGCTTGGGGTCTCGCAATGGCAGCGCATGTGGGGGCGGGGCCAGCTCTGGGTAGCGAGTTGGACTGTCTATAGGCAAGCCTGCTTTTAGGTCGGGCATGTCCTCCTACACTCAGTTTTTTGGACGAAAATGAGAAATAGTCTAAGCAGGCAAAACAACAATTCGAACATACGCAAAACAAATCGTCCCCAATTATTTATGTACTAATGTTTCTCCCGTAGAGGGACATGCCCGACTTAAGCCTACTTGGAAAGTCAGTGGCAGGATGATGGGGGGAATGCGGCGCGAGGTCCAAGGCCGCATGGGCATGTGCAGAGTCGGCTGGGAGAAGAGGACTCGCGACTTTCAGACACCTCGTCAGGCGAGCATGGCCCTGCTGGTGTGCTCATACCAGATCGACCGGCTGGGCGACGTGATCGGTTGGGGAGCGGAGTGCGCGGCCTGCCTCGGCCCTGTGGAAGCGAGGCTCGAACTCCGTTCTTCTGCCCTCGCACTTTCCCACCCGCTACCCCCTCCGCCCTCGAGCTCCTTCCCCCGCTCCCCAGCCCGATGCCATCCCACATCTTTCACCCTGTCTCGCCAGCCCACTACTCGTGCGTTCCACGTTCCCTCCTCTGTTTCAGGTTGCCCTCTGGTCATTCGTCGGAAACTGGAACGTATACATTACCAGTGGCGGGCTGTTCTTCAATCCCAGGACTCTTCTGAGGGTCGGGGACGACGTCGGGGTGGTGTGGTGTATACTCCTCCCCCGTATCCCAAGGGAAACAACGAAAAATATATACACCATGATACCGTGTACACCAGGATCCGCTTTCCTGGGCGAGGTTCAGTGTGAGGCCAGACAAAGGCGTCGGTGTATATAGAGCTCGACTCCCTCTTTAGTACGTCCCTCGTGCCCCTCCCCTTTCACAGCCCTCTTCCCTCTCCCTCGTTTCCGCGTCGAACACCCTTGGGGAGCGGCACGATCGCCCCGGCGGACGAGCAGGTTTCGTTCCTGCTGCCACCGGCCACGTGCGCCCATTCTTTGTCCACCGCCTCCTCTTTCCCTCTCTCCTCTTTCGCAGTCCTTCTCGTCGCCCCTTTCCCGATCGGCAGCGTCACCCTCGTCTTCGTCTCCCTCTTCTCCCTCATCCCCTCGTCCTCATCGTCTCCTCCTGCTCCTCCGCAGCCAGTCGGTCTCAAGAGGCCGGCGAGGCTCGCTCGCTGTCACGGATTTGTCTCCCTGGCAAAGTCTTGGCCTCTGCGAGCGTGCTCTGCACGGCACTGCTGCGGCTCTCGGCCTCTCGCCGCCCGACGCACACCCCGTTCTGCGGGAGCTGCCCCCCAATCGGCGCACAGTGCAGCGGAGACCCATGCCAAGGAACACCCTGCTTGCCACCAGGGTGCCCTGGGTTTCCTGGGCTTTGATGGTCTTGCGATGAAAGGCGTGGCGTCCCCACGCCAGGAGGCGATGGACGCCCCGGGGTCTCCGAGCTGGGCTTCTCGTGGACGGTTTCTTGAGGTCGGGCCCTTCGTGGGCCCCGGAAGCGGCAGACCTGTGTTTTTTTTTATCGTTTCTGCAAACATGTCTCTTGCAAGTGGAAGCGGCGAAAACTCGGCGACCAGAAACTGCAAAAAAATATCCTGGCGATGGACCCAACCATATACAGTTACGAGTACCGCAAGGCAGGTTGAACGAATGAGAGGGAGCTCCCTATGGGGCCATGAAGCGTGTGAGGGGTGTGCCGAAATGGGTGCGGTGCCGCCATGCGGACGCAGCCACTGGGGCCCTCGGAGGAGCTCCCTATGGGGCCACGAAACGTGTGAGGGGTGTGCCGAAATGGGTGCGGTGCCGCCATGCGGACGCAGCCACTGGGGCCCTCGGTGGAGCTCCCTATGGGGCCACGAAACGTGTGAGGGGTGTGCCGAAATGGGTGCGGTGCCGCCATGCGGACGCAGCCACTGGGGCCCTCGGTGGAGCTCCCTATGGGGCCACGAAACGTGTGAGGGGTGTGCCGAAATGGGTGCGGTGCCGCCATGCGGACGCAGCCACTGGGGCCCTCGGTGGAGCTCCCTATGGGGCCACGAAACGTGTGAGGGGTGTGCCGAAATGGGTGCGGTGCCGCCATGCGGACGCAGCCATTGGGGCCCTCGGTGGGGCTCCCTATGGGGCCACGAAACGTGTGAGGGGTGGGAGGAGGGAGGAGGAGGAGGCGGAGGAGGAGGAAGGAAGGAAGGAGAGGAGACGCGGGGCACCGTCTCTTCAAAACGAGGACCCAACACCACAGGATGGTTGGGAAATCGGCGACCAGAAACTGCACAAATTACTCACTGCGTGGAGCTCCCCATATGTGCATCTCATGTTTTATGTCATGCCGTGGTGAGCGTCTGTTCATGAGCGGTCGACTACAATAGCGCGTCCACGTGGGCGACAGGGCCGACGAAGACGAGTGACCCCTAATGCGAGTGATTGCGTATGAGTCAGAGTGAGCTTTGAGTATGGTTGAATGCGAGCCTCTTCCTCTTCATCCCCCCTCCTCAGCTGCCAGGCCTTCCCCTTGTCAGCCCGTGGTAGCTTTGGGGCTTCCCATATGTGCATACCTGGCTCTCCAAGCGCTGAAACAGGCGAACCGCCTGAGACATCCCCACAAAATGGCCGCGAACGACCCGTGCAAACACCCCTGGCGGACATCCTCACAATCTGCTCTCCAAGCGAAGGATGTTGAGCCCAGAAACAAGCAAACCGCCTGAGACATCCCCACAAAATGGCCGCGAACGAGCCCGTGCAACACCCCTGGCGGCTCCCCTTAGGGGTGCTGAAACCAGCGCCCCGCCTGAGACATCCTCACAATCTGCTCTCCAAGCGAAGGATGTTGAGCCCAGAAACAAGCAAACCGCTTGAGACATCCCCACAAAATGGCCGCGAACGAGCCCGTGCAAACACCCCTGGCGGCTCCCCTTAGGGGTGCTGAAACCAGCGCCCCGCCTGAGACATCCTCACAATCTGCTCTCCAAGCGAAGGATGTTGAGCCCAGAAACAAGCAAACCGCTTGAGACATCCCCACAAAATGGCCAGCGAACGAGCCCGTGCAAACACCCCTGGCGGCCCCCCTTAGGGGTGCTGAAACCAGCGCCCCGCCTGAGACATCCTCACAATCTGCTCTCCAAGCGAAGGATGTTGAGCCCAGAAACAAGCAAACCGCCTGAGACATCCCCACAAAATGGCCGCGAACGAGCCCGTGCAAACACCCCTGGCGGCTCCCCTTAGGGGTGCTGAAACCAGCGCCCCGCCTGAGACATCCTCACAATCTGCTCTCCAAGCGAAGGATGTTGAGCCCAGAAACAAGCAAACCGCCTGAGACATCCCCACAAAATGGCCGCGAACGAGCCCGTGCAAACACCCCTGGCGGCCCCCCTTAGGGGTGCTGAAACCAGCGCCCCGCCTGAGACATCCTCACAATCTGCTTTCCAAGCGAAGGATGTTAGGCCCAGAAACAAGCAAACCGCTTGAGACATCCCCACAACATGGCCGCGAACGAGCCCGTGCAAACACCCCTGGCGGCTCCCCTTAGGGGTGCTGAAACCAGCGCCCCGCCTGAGACATCCTCACAGTCTGTTCTCCAAGCGAAGGATGTTGAGCCCAGAAACAAGCAAACCGCTTGAGACATCCCCACAAAATGGCCGCGAACGAGCCCGTGCAAACACCCCTGGCGGCTCCCCTTAGGGGTGCTGAAACCAGCGCCCCGCTTGAGACATCCTCCAAATTTGATGTGTGTTGAGTAAGTATGAGTGTGAGTAGGTCTGAGTATGAGTATGCCTGAGTATGAGTAAGTCTGTGTATGAGTAAGTATGTGTATGAGTAAGTCTGGGTATGAGTAGGTCTGTGTATGAGAAAGTCTGTGTATGTGTGAGTATGAGTAATACTGTGTATGAGTAAGTCTGGGTATGAGTAAGTCTGTGTATGAGTACGTCTGGGTGTGAGTAAGTCTGTGTATGAGTAAGTCTGTGTATGAGTATGTCTGAGTGTGAGTAAGTCAGTATGAGTAAGTCTGAGTATGAGTAGGTCTGAGTATGAGGAAAGAGGAGGAGGGGAGGAGGAAAGAGGAGGAGGGAGAGGGAGTAGGAGGCGTCCAAGTAATAACAGGAACCCCATCTTAGGATATGGGGAAAAAACGGCTCCAGGATTGGAGCCGGAGCCGGAGCCGATAAACCGGCGACGGAACCGGTAAAACACGGCAACGGAGCCGATAAACCGGCGACGGAACCAAAAAACGGCGACGGAACCGCTAAAAAAGCGGCGCCAGAGCTGGTAAAGCACGGCAGAACGGAGCCAGCAAAAAACCGGCCCTGTCGTTTCCAGGGCCCATTAAGGTCGAGCCCCTATTGCATGCTTGACTTCATGCCGTCCTACTGCGCTGTGCAGCATCGCTGCGTCGCAAGCTCCGAGTGCCCCCAAGCAGCGCACGAGCCGCTGCTTGGGGGCACTTGGTGCTTGCGACGTGCCCGTCGCGAGGCGAGCCCTCGCCCGAGCGGTCGTGGTGCCCGCGCCCGTGCTCGGCCTCGTCCTTTCGGGGAGGGAGGCGCAGGAGGAGGCGGAGGAGGAGGAGGAGGAGGAGGAGGAGGAGGAGGAGGAGGAGGAGGAGGAGGAGGGAGGAGGGAGGAGGCGGAGGGAGGATCGAGGATCGAGGATCGAGGAGGAGGAGGAGAAAAGAGGAGGAGAAGAGAGGAGGAGGAGAGGGGAGGAACGATGAGGAGGGGGAGGAGGAGGGAGAGGGGTATTTTGGCGTCGGCATCCGGCGCGCTGATCACAGCTTCGGGGTACTGCCGTTGGATTCGGAGCGCCAGGTGCGCCGAGTCCCGCCCCGCCTTCACGTGCTCCCCCGACGTCGGGCATTCTTTCCCGCGCGCGTATGTCAACACGGAGCCATTGGAGCCCCACGAGTGCGACCTGGCGGGGAGCTGGCAGACCTGCATAGTCTACCCAGAGGTCCTTGGCACGTGCACTGCCACAATCTTCTGACGAGGTGTTTCTGCTGGGCTGCATGGTGGTCTCGGCGGCCTTTCGAAGTGCTTGCAGTCGAATCGAGGGGTGCATGGGAGCAGCCTGAAGACTCACAAGTCGGTCCAACTTCAGTTCTACCCCACACTCGCGGACCTCAAGTTTCTCGCGTTTCATAAACCTCCCGCTGTTCCTGTCCAGGTTTCAGTGGGACCCTGCCCACAGTCTCCGTCTTGGGGCGCGGATTCAGATGGTGCTTTTCGTACGGCATGGAGCTGGTTCGAGAAGGGGCCCCAAAAATAGGATTCACAGACACACGAATGGGTTTGCAAGTTGTGGGCCAACACGGCGGAGACAGCTTTGATTTCCAGCCGCCAGATTGAGATCCCAATCTCTGGTATCAGAGGCCGGCTGCCTAAACTTTTGTGGAAGTCGGCACTCGAGAGTGATTTGGAATGGGTCTGTCGGCAACCCTCCCACTTCGCGC